ATAAATGGGGTCCCAGCCGATGCCATCCAGCTAAGGTACTTTCCATTCGCTTTGGAAGGCAGGCCAAGGAGTTGTTGGACACTAGGTGCCTTGGATCGATCACCACGTTCGCCAACCTGGTGGACAAGTTCCTCACCCGCTACCATCCTTCGTCGAAGACGGCGGACCTGCAGAAGCAGATCACCCACTTTGCTCAGGATGAAGATGAGACCATTAGGGATTCTTGAAAAAGATGCATCATTCTCTTCTTCAAGTGTCCCAACCATGGTTTTACCGATGCCTTCAAGGTGGGCACTTTCTACCATGCCCTCTTCCCAGAAGACAAGCAGCTGATTGACTCGGTTTGCGGCGGGAATATGCTCACAAAGACACCGCCGCAGCTTTTTGAAGAGATGGCAGAGCAGGGATATGATTGGGGAATTGCAAGGAGATCGAGACGAGCACCTGGGCGGGGTGTGCATACTGTAGCCACCCAGTCGTCTAATTTGGTACAGGTGGATATCTAAGCCGGTCTCGGCTATTGATCGCTCTGGATTGGTTTCAGGGATAGTGCAACAGCAGACAATGCATTGCCAGTGGTGCGAAAGCTCCCACCACACCATCGAAGACTGCCAGGCCATGCGTGAGTCCAGTACACCCCAGGAGCAGGTGAACTTCATCAACAATGCTAGGCGCAACGATCCTTAAAGTAATACCTTCAATGAGGGATGGCGCCAGCATCCAAATTTCTCCTGGATTGGCAACAGCAATCCAAAGCCACCTGGCTTCCAGGCTCCTGCAGCTAGTTTTTCAAACCAGAGGCATCCATACCAGCCTCGCCCGGGCCAGATGCAGCAACAACAACCACTTTATCAGCCCAGACAGGGGCAGGCTTTTCAGCAGCCCCCATAGCAGCAGTACCAGTAGCCTGGTGCATCTCCTTCAGTCCCAGAATCGGCGATCCCGTGTTAGAACTGAGGGATCTAGTGACTACCTTGGCCAGCACTAATACCCAAAAGTTCAATAAATTGGAGCAATTCATGGAAGTGGCTGCAGGAAAATTCATGGAGATTGAAGCTGGCCAGAGAAACCAGCAGGCACTCTTGCAGGATATGGACACCAAGATCGGGCACCTGGCAGATGCCCTTGCTTCCAGACCGGCTAGCACACTTCCTAGCCAACCCCTGCCGAATCCTAGAAATCATAAGGAGTGGTTGCACGCCATTATGTTGAGAAGCCGGACTGAGACTGCGGATGCACCCCAGAAGAGTGACAAAAAGGTGACCTCAATCAACTTAGAGCCGGAAGAAGACCTGGTGATTGAAAAGAAGCCAGAGGCTCAAGCTCCAAAGCCACAACCAGTAGTGGCTGAATATAAGCCTAAGCTCCCTTTTCCCACCAGGATGTACAAAGACAGGCTAGAGGCAGAGTTCAGCAATTTCTCGTCCATGCTTAAGAAGCTGAATGTTCAAGTGCCCTTCATGGAGGCACTATCTCAGATGCCTAGGTATGCGAAGTTCCTGAAGGAGCTTCTCTTGAAGAAGCGGAGGCTGAGCGAGCTGGCCACTGTGGAGCTCAGGGAGGAGTGCTCGGCCATTCTGCAGAACAAGCTTGCGCCGAAGCAAAAGGACCCAGGTTGTTTTACTATACCGTGCTCTTTGGTAAATTGCATGTAGAGAGGTCCTTAGCGGATCTAGGTGCTAGTATTAATGTAATCCCATATAAATTGTTCAAGAAACTAGGCCTAGGTGAACCCAATGTAACTAGGATGAGTATTCAGTTAGCTGACCGATCTGTAGTTCATCCTAGGGGCATAGTGGAAGACATCCTGGTTAAGGTTGGCAGATTCTTTTATCCTGTGGGTTTTGTTGTCTTGGACATCAATGAAGACGCAGAAGTGCCTCTTACACTAGGAAGGCCTTTCCTGGCCACCGCCAACGCTCTCATAGATGTGCATGATGGGACCTTAGTCTTGAGAGATAGCGAGGAGCAGATAACATTTTGCATTGCTAATAATATAAATGCTATCTCGCCTTTGCATGTTGTCTCTCACCAGGTGCACGAGTCTGTCGTGCATACTTCGGTGCCTTCTATTTTGCAGGACTCGCCTCTCATATCTTCGCCGCCACTCCCGTCCACCCCCGTTACCAAAGGAAAAGATCAAGGAGGAGTGGCGGTCGAAACTGTAGATAGCTAAGACTGCTCACCAGAAAGCCGGAGACCACTATGAGCTGGTCCCGTCTTCTGAGCCACGACCCCCTTGGCCATTCGAGTATTCCCTCGCTTGCATCTTCCCGGATGGCCAAGTCGAGTTGACGAGTGCTGGTGGTCACACCCGACTTGTGCATGGCCACCATCTGAAGTTGTACCTCAAGAGCGATGTGGATCCTCTCTTGGAGACACCTCTTCCTACACCTCTCTAAGCATCCAACCTACTGGCGTCCAGCTAAAAGACGGTAAAGAAGCGCTTGTGGGAAGGCACCCCACCACGGTTTTCATTTCTGTCTTTTCCCTTTTCGGTTTTTTCGGTTTTTGAGTCTTTCAATCTGTCAAGAGTCTGTCTGGAATGTATTTCGTGCCCCGGATGGTCTGTTTTTGTCTATGGTGGTGTTTTTTCCAGCCGGGGCACGAATGGGTTTGGTTGTCCGAAAATGCGGTTTAAAATTTTTCACAGGGGGCTCTCGACAGTGCAATTACGAGAAAAGGGGACTCAATTACGGTCGTATTTCCTTGTCCCCCTGCCCGTATTTCAGTCAAAACAAGGGAGAAGCCTCGGTAGTGTAATTACGGGCAGGATCAGACCAAATACGGTCGTAATTGTGCCCGTAATTGGTTCAGAGAGACTGATTCGCCCTTCAGTCACCGTTCCTGATCACCATTTCACGGTAACATCATTCCCCTTCCCTCTGCTCCATTGAGGGCAATGTCGAACTTAAGTGTGGGGGGGTGATTTGTATTTATTGGAACGTATATATGTGTGCTTGGAGCTTAGTCCACTGTCCAAATCTTGAGATTTGAGGGCTCCAAGTACCGTTGTTTGGTTGATCATATTAGCACTATGGGTTTAATTGGAGAATCGAATGGCTTTCGAATTAATGCATGATAACTGGATTGTGAGTAAAGACAACCTATAACGATGACTGAGACGTGCAATAGAGTTGTGTAGGGGTTCAGTTTTTCAACTGTTTGCTTACGAACTAAGACTTGGATTGATCACTTGTTCTTGACAGTCGTTTATGCATCTAGTTCAGGGAATCAGAATGAGAGATAGAGCATATAGGTAGCCATGTTAGATTTGAGCATGCTCGGTTATTTCTTGTGCGATAGATCCCTCTTCCATGATGTGTAGCATTCACGTTGTCATTAGCTAAGATGATGGAGGCATAGGAATAGCCCACGACCAAATTGACTGTCCTGGTGTGTCATACCCCCTAGTCAGCCCCTTTGAGTCGTGTCACTTTCTTTCTTTCGGTTTATAATGGAAAATCACCCTTTTGCATCTCTTAGAAGGTTCCACAGAGTGGTTTTTGCATGTTCTCTATTGTTTCTGCTAAATATAATGTGAGGGTTGGAGGTAATGCTTAAAAGCTGGGCATGTGTTTGAAAAATGTGCAGAGGTGGTGGTTCTCTCTGGAAATGAAATGAAGAAAAAAAGAAGAGAAGAAGAAAAAATGAATGAAAGCAAAAGAGAGCCACTGACAAGAATCTGAATCATGCTCATTAAGTAGTGTTTCTTAGCAGTCTGGCTTAGAAATACTAACATTATTATGACCTCCTTCTCTCTTGTGCTCTAACGAATTTGAGTAATGCAGAATGGCAGAAAGAAAGTAAGTTGGTTGATTGGCTGTGAATGTGTTGGGTTTGGAACTGTGGAACCTTGTGCTATGAATACTTCCACCACCTAAAAGACATTTTCCCCATGTCCAAGACCCTAGCCAGTCATTTGAACCTCTGTCTAAGACCTCCGGATTAGTTAGTGATGACACCCATTTTTGTGAACTCTAACATTTAGAGGCTGCCGACATGAACACATTAGTAATAAAATAAATGACGTCACAAAAGAAATCACTCATGACGGATGAATTTGACGAAGTTTTTTTTTACGACAACTTAATTTATTTTTGACGCATTATGTTTGTACGTAAACCATTTTTCTGACGAGATGTCATAAATACTAATTATACTAACGTCCATAATTCATCGAAAATAACTATTTGTGACCAGAAATTGAGGTCGAACGTTATTTTTTATACGGTGTACATACATTTCTGATGATGTGTATGCGTCACTAATATATTATTACCAATGTTTAGTAAAAAATATAAATTTTACTGATGCCGACAAGTTGTCGTTAAAACTATGTTTTTTCTGACGTGTCGTCAGAAGAATTATTATTTTCGAGGATAACTATTCATCGTAAATAAAATCTTTTCCAACGTGTCGTTGGATAAATTTTTATTTATGATGACAACTATTCATCATAAAATTAATCTTTTCCGACGTATCATTGGATAAATTTTTATTTACGATGACACCTATTCATCATTAAAAAAATCTTTTCCCGCGTGTCGGTGGTTATATTATTATTACAGAGGACATATGTTTATCGTCAGAAAAAATCTTTTCCAACGTGTCATTGGAAAAAACATATTTACTGAGGACAGCTAATTATCACCAAAAATTATCTTTTCCAACACGTCGTCGAAGAAACTAAATTTACTAATGACGCTTAATTATTGTCAATTGTGCAATTACATCTATTAACGACGACGGCATTTGTTGCTAATTGCTTGATCAAATTTCATTTGTGACGCTATTATACTTCTAGTGATGACAACACAAACAAATCATCCAAACAAAGTTATGCATATTCCAAAATTAACTTTCAAACTGTCTAACAAGTAGCCATCAACTACGACCAAACATCCAAACTTCAAAAGACAAAATATCCTCCGAAAATGACACAAAATATCCCAAAGTCAAGCGATACTTAGAATCCTACGATAGCATTAAAAAGAAATTCATGCATCAGCAACAGTCTCCCCGGCAGTCTCCTCATTGGACTCGTCGTCGGCCACATCGTTACCCTGAGTTTCCCCAACTCGACCTTGTACCCCATTTGCTTCACTGTTAAGATCCTACATAGAATATAACAAATAAATTAGCGATAGCTTCGAAAATTATGCAATGAGTAAAAAATAAAACATGGCAGCAAAATACATACCATGGAAACGTCTAAACATCTCGATCGGATCAGGTTCTTTTCCAGTTTGTTTTATTTACCAATCAATTAAAAAGAAAAATTGCATTCACATGTAAACTGAGTACACTTTCAGCTAACATAAACATTAGAAATAGTGCAGCAACTTACCTCTTCATGTCTGTACTTGGCCAACGGTGCTGAACCGCCAGTGGCTACAAGCTCACTCTTCTCCCGATTCCCTTTATTCTTATCACTCATTTCCTTGAATTTGAAACAACAAACAATCAGCTCACCACTGAAAACATATTAGGATGAAAGACAAACACCAAAGCATACACCCACTTAACTTACCACCCAATTCGGGTTAGTCCATTTCTGAACCATCTCCCTCCAAGTTGATGGACTAATTTGCGGTGGTGGATGGTTGATTCTCTGATTCATATCCTTATACTTCTTGAAAATCCAGTCTCGGAGACCATACATCCACTGGGGAAAGTTTCTCTTCACGTGGTCTTTGACCATATCGTTGAAAGTCTCTTCTGACCCAGTGTAAGTGAATCCTGAGTTATTGAAATGAGCTATCACAGTCTCTAGTTCTGATGCAGGATACTCTGAGAAAGTAATCAAAGGCCCACTGATGCTCCTTTTGAAGATAGCTGAAATTTCACGGGCTGCTTGAGTGGTAATTATCCTGCACAGTTTATTTATAACTATCAAACTAAGTAAACTGAGTACAGAGATGGGTTATCGTGAAAGATGTGAGACACTGAGTGCAAAACATTCCAGGGACAGGTTGTGCAAAAAATTCCAAGGAACATTATTACAGACCTGTTATCGTGAAATTCCAGGGACAGGTTGTGTACAGGCTTTACACCCTTTCCTGGTCCTCTTCCTTTTCTTTTTTTGGTCGTCCCTATCACAAGATCTGAACTTATAGTCAGCTACAATGCAAAGACAGAAGTAAGCCATACGAAATAAAAAAAAAACCACACAATGAAACTAACCATTTGATCTTCCACCCTCTGATGACAGGTCTGTAGCTGAATGTGGATCAGTCGAATCAACATGCTCTGTTTCTCCTTCCAATTCAGTAACAGGGGACCTTTGCTCCATTCTCGGAGTTTCGGTGATGGGAACAGGCGTATCGGTGTTCCTTTCCCCTTGTCCTTCTTCCTGATTCTTTGAAGCAAGAGGCGGAGAGGGAGAGTTGCTCTGCACAGGTGAACGAGGTGCAGATTCTTCCCTCTGGCTTTGAGAACGGAGGCGTTTCTTTTGCTTTGCCATCTAGTGAGAAGCAGAATTCGTTAGAGGGAGGAGAGTAATGGCAAAAAAGAGGAAATCGTAGATGACGAAGAAAAGGCTTTTGGTTCCTTTATTTGGCTCTGCCTACTGAAGCGTGTTTATGTTATCTAGGAATTATTAATGAAGCGTGTTTTCTGTAGTTATTGTGTTGTGGTGGGAAACAAGGGGAAAAAATCCCGCCTTTTTTTAGGCTAACGAAGAGGCAGAGCATGTTTATGGTTCTTTACCTTTTCTGAGGAAATCTCGTTCCATAGATCCCTCTATGTCGTTGTACTCATTTAACGCATTAATTCGTTTATTGCAATTAAGGTTTAATTACATGAATGAACAATAATTGACAAATTAGGGGGGGATTGAACTGAACTAATTACAGTCTGCGAACAATGAACCAAATTGCAAAGAAAACGAACCAAAAACAGACCCCATGGATGAACAAGAATTGCACCATGGATGAAAAACCCACATGCATTGACCAAATCAAAGTATAAGCCACTGAACTAACTTAGAACAGACCCCATTGTGCAAAGAACGAACTAATTACCTGGAATTCCGATTCAGTCCCAATCTCAGAGAGTTCTAAGATGCTTTCTGGGTGCATGCATGTTCGATTTACACCTGCAATTGAGGAAATCATGCCGCAACATTCAAATCCACATTATTGCATATAAATTGATTTGCTTGTACACATCCAATTGAAAGACAAAAGCAAACAAACCTATATTCTGTCGACTAAGAAAAGCGAAGTAATCCAGATTCCGGCGAATAAAGATCGCCTCTATGCCCTCATTCATCTCTCTCGAAGCGCAATCCGCCGCGAAACCCAGACCCACCAAAGGATTGGGCTCCCGCTACATCGCTTCGTCCACGCTGCTCAGTCCGTCGGCCGATCGGAGCAAACGACGGCGGCCGTGACGTCGCCTACGCGCACCCCAGTTCACCAACCGCCGCAGCAACTGGAAATACAGTCATCGTCTCCTCCGCGCCCCCCAATCTTCCATCATCGACAGACTTGAAGTCGCCACAATCTTTTGGGTAAGAGAGCAAAAATGAAATCGATGAAGGGTTTGGGTAAACAGAGTGCATGTGAGGAGGTGAGAGTGGAAGATGGAGTGTTTTTGTTCTCCATTTTAATTTGTTCAGAATAAATTTTAGTGTTAATTGATTAGCTGACATTAAAAAATAAAAATATCGCCTGTTTTATTGAAGCGAAGAGGGGCAGATGATTATGTAGACTTTTTAATTTATATTTTGTTGCTAATAAACATTTCATACAATTATTGAATTGCTATAATATATATGGTGGCTACTTCGATGCAGTCACTTTTTTGGGTGCACAACTTTAAAAGCGTCCATAATACATCAAATTTTGAACTTTAATTAGTACTCTCAATATAATATGATGATATGACATAGAATCATAACAAATCAATCCATTGCCCTAACCCCTTAACATTCAATTTTGAATCCCAACCCAAAATCCCAAATTGTAAACCTAAACCCTAACCCTAAATCCCTAAATCCTAAATCCTTCGAATTAAAGTAAATTTTGAATGAATTTTTTTTTTCAAATTCATGTGTTTCTTGTTCATAATATCATAAGCAACAATTGATACCGTTTTGACATAAATCGCATGGTTAGAATGACAATTATGATGCGGGTGCATTGAGAGCACCCGAAAAAGTGGGTGCACCGAATACGACACCATATATATATATCAACACCTTCCATAACCTACAAAAAAAGGTACAATATATTTTTAATTATTTCAACTTGCTTAAATGAAATATAAACTTAACAAAATATATATATATATAAACTACAAAATATATTTTTAATTATTTCAACTTGCTTAAATGAAATATAAACTTAACAAAATATATATATATATTTTGTTAAGTTTATATTTCATTTAAGCAAGTTGAAATAATTAAAAATATATTGTACCTTTTTTGTAGGTTATGGAAGGTGTTGATAAATCATGGATGCAGCTTCGTAATAGATCAACTATGGAGTATGCAAATGGCGTTCAAAATTTTTTCGCATTCGCATACTCCAATATTCAAGATGAAGACAACAAAATACAGTGTCCTTCCGTGGACTGTCGGAATGTTATAAGAAGGGAAAAACGAGAAGTTGAGTTACATCTATTACGACGAGGAATGTCACGTGATTACACTAAATGGATTTATCATGGAGAGTAATCAGACGATGATTATTCTGAAGAGGAGGATGCAGAGGATGTTGTAGACGATGGTAATGAGATGGATGTAGATGACATACCGGGGTTAATGAATGATTTGAGACCGCATTTGGATCCTGACCCCGAGAATCCCAATGTAGAGGCAGAGCAGTTTTTCAAACTGGTCAGAGATTCACATACGCCATTGTATGAAGGTTGTGATGAAATGTTATCCAGTCTGTCATTCCTGGTGAAGATGATGCATTTGAAGTGGTTCAATTCTTGGAGTAATACATCTTTTACTCAATTATTGAAGTTTCTTCGATCTACTTTCCCTATGGCACAGTCTACAATGCCGAAGAATTACTATCAAGCAAAAAAGATGTTGAGTGGTCTTGGGCTAAATTATGAAGAAATAGATGCTTGTGAAAATGACTGTGTCATTTACTACGGGGAGCTCATAGGAGCAACGATATGCCCTTCCTGCCAGAAACCAAGGTACAAGAAAATCATGAAGGATAGTAGGGGAAGAGTCCTAAGATGCCCTACAAGATACTAAGATATTTTCCCATAAAGCCAAGATTACAATGCTTATTCATGTCGCGAAAAACTGCGGAGGATATGGTATGGCATAGCGAACAACGTGTAAGAGATGGCAAATTAAGGCACCCTAAGGACAGTGAAGCTTGGAGAGTTTTAGACCAGTATGATGCAACTTTTGGTTCCGAACCTCGCAACGTCCGATTGGGATTAGCAACGGATGGCTTCAATCCATTTGGCAACATGAATAACAAGCATAGTACTTGGCCGGTAATTTTGTTCCCGTATAATCTCCCACCATGGTTATGCATAAAGAGTCCATATCTATTATTGACATTACTCATTCCTGGTCCGAAAAGTCCAGGAAACAATATTGATGTCTACCTGCAACCACTCATTGATGATCTGAAGTCGTTGTGGAGTGAGGGAATAATGACTTATGAATTATGATGCATTCAAACAAGTGAATTTCAACATGAAAGCTGCATTGTTGTGGACTATCAATGATTTTCCTGCATATGGTCTCCTTTCTAGTTGGAGTACAAAAGGCAAATTGGCATGCCCTTCCTGCGCAGGGAACACCTCACATTTGAGGTTGAATAAAGGATGCAAGGAATGTTACATGGATCATCGCCGTTTTTTGCCATTGGATCATAAATGGCGCAAGCAAAAGAAGGAGTTTAACAGCACTGTAGAAAAAAGACGTGCACCAGAGCGATTATCATCCGAAGAGGTATGAAAATCAACTTCTCTCTTTACAAACTATACCTTTCGACAGTAAGGGAAAAGGCAAAAAAATCAATCGGTTTGGCAAAACTCATAACTGGAAAAAGAAGTCTATTTTCTTTGAATTGCCATATTGGTCATCGCTCTTAGTACGACACAATTTGGATGTCATGCATATAGAGAAAAATGTATGTGATAGTATTCTTGGTACTATTATGAATATTGAGGGCAAAACAAAGGATGGTCTAAGTGCACGTCGTGATTTGTAGGAGATGGGTATAAGGAAAGATCTTCATCCTGTTGAGAGGAATGGGAAAACAAAGTTACCTAGAGCTGCATATAGCTTGACAGCGGCAGAGAAGAAATCCTTGTGTCAGTGGCTATCAAAAGTTAAAATACCAGATGCTTACTCCGCAAGTTTGGCACGTTGTGTCAATGTTGATGATCGAAAGACACATGGGATGAAAACTCATGATTGTCATGTGTTCTTGGAGAGGTTATTACCGTTAGCCGCTCGTGACTTATTTTCGAAGTTCATATCGGACACACTGATTGAGCTTAGCAAATTTTTCAAGGACATATGTTCCAAGGAGCTAAACGTGGAAGATTTGAATTACTTGGAGTCTCAAATTGCCATAATCCTATGTAAGTTGGAACGTATTTTTCCTCCTGCCTTATTCGATATAATGATCCACCTGCCCATCCATCTATCTTGGGAGGCCAAAGTTGCTGGTCCAGCTCAGTATCGATGGATGTATCCTATTGAAAGATATGCTACATATATAACTACACTAAAATTATGTTATATACTGACATTTTGGAAACTTTGTGTAGTTAATTTGACAACTTTTAACAATTTAGGTATTTGAAGAAGTTAAAAGGTTACGTTCGTAACAAGGCACGTCCAGAGGGATCAGTCGCCGAAGCTTATATTGTTGATGAATGTGTCACATTTTGCTCACAATATTTGACCGGAATGGATACTATATTCAATCGGGCAGAGAGAAATGTAGATAAATCTTCATCGTCGTCGCAGTCATCTCATGACCTATTAGTTGTTCTAGGTGTCGGTCGTGTCATTGGTGTGAAGGACGACATGAGAGGCTTCAATACTGATTTGTGGAAGGCGGCAGCTTCTTATGTCCTACAAAACTGTGATGAAGTGCAAGATTTTATAAGGTACATATACATATATACCAATACTTATTTATTTATTGTATGCTAGAATATAATTTATTTTAATTATATTAATTACAGAACTCACAAGGAACAACTAAGCAATTGAGGTGTTCGTATGGTTGAAGCAGTGCATAAGCAAGAATTTGCTAAGCGGTTCTTATTAGAAGTACATACATGTCATATATAATAAAGAATTTTCATATTTAAAAATTATCGTCAGCTAAATTTATATTTATCCTTGCAATTATTTGCAGATTACACGAATGCACAATGATAAAGTGCCAGGTTCGAATCCTTCTTTGTTATCCTTAGCTCGAGAGCCAGACAAACGAGTCCTGCACTACTCAGGATATTGTA